CCAGGACTAAACCAGGACTAAACCAGGACTGAACCAGGTCTAAACCAGGACTGAACCAGGACTGAACCAGGACTGAACCAGGTCTAAACCAGGACTAAACCAGGTCTAAACCAGGTCTAAACCAGGTCTAAACCAGGACTGAACCAGGACTAAACCAGGTCTAAACCAGGACTGAACCAGGACTAAACTAGGTCTAAACCAGGACTGAACCAGGACTAAACTAGTTCTAAACCAGGACTGAACCAGGTCTAAACCAGGTCTAAACCAGGACTGAACCGGGTCTAAACCAGGACTAAACCAGGTCTAAACCAGGTCTAAACCAGGACTGAACCAGGTCTAAACCAGGTCTAAACCAGAACTAAACCAGGTCTAAACCAGGACTGAACCAGGACTGAACCAGGTCTAAACCAGGTCTAAACCGGGTCTAAACCAGGACTAAACCAGGTCTAAACTGGGTCTAAACCGGAACTGAACCGGGACTGAACCAGGACTGAATCAGAACTAAACCAGGTCTAAACCAGGACTGAACCAGGTCTAAACCAGGTCTAAACCAGGACTGAACCAGGTCTAAACCAGGTCTAAACCAGGTCTAAACCAGGACTAAACCAGGTCTAAACCAGGACTGAACCAGGTCTAAACCAGGTCTAAACCAGGACTGAACCAGGACTAAACCAGGACTAAATCGATATGGATCAGGGTGTAGTTGTTTCTTTTCCGTCTGGACTCGTACCACGGCGAGGATGGAGTAGAGCACCACACTGAGCTGGATGTGCGTTGGCCTGGTGTGGTCCAGCACGGGTCGGCTCAGTTTGTACACCTCATTACTCTTGGACAGGTTCAGATGGTCCAGAACGTCCTGGTACGAGCAGGGGGACTTCAGCTGGACCAGATCTGTGGAAAAGAGAGGAGGACAGACGAGAGAAAGTCACGTGAGCTTCGGTTGTTTTGACTCGTGTCTCTGTTTGACACTTTTCCCGTAAAAAGCGGCTCAGACTGTGGTCCAGGGTTTTTGTTTCTCCGGGACCACAGAGTCTCGATTAGTCCAGACTGTAAATGGAACTCAATTATCCTACATGTACTCTGATCTCAGAACATCAGGACTAAATGAGGACTAAACCAGGACTCACCCAGGACTAAATGAGAAATAAACCGGGGCTAAACCAGGACTGAACCAGGACTGAACCAGGACTAAACCAGGACTAAATGAGAAATAAACCGGGGCTAAACCAGGACTGAACCAGGACTAAACCAGGACTAAATGAGAAATAAACCAGGGTCTAAACCAGGACTGAACCAGAACTCAACCAGGACTAAACCAGGACTGAACAAGGACTAAACCAGGATTAAACCAGGTCTAAACCAGAACTAAATCAGAACTAAACCAGGGCTAAACCAGGACTAAACCAAGATTAAATCAGGACTAAACCAGGACAAAACTAGGACAGACCCAGAACTAAACCAGGGCTAAACCAGGACTAAACCAAGATTAAATCAGGACTAAACCAGAACTAAACCAAGGACTAAACCAGGACTAAACCAGGACAAAACTAGGACTGACCCAGAACTAAACCAGGTCTAAACCAGGACTAAACCAGGACTAAATCAAGGACTAAACCAGGACTAAACCAGAACTAAACCAGGACTAAGACAGGGACTAAACCAGGACTAAACCAGGACTAAACCAGGATTGAACCAAGATTAAATCTGGACTAAACCAGGGGTAAACCAGGGACTAAACATGGACCAAACCTGGACTGAACCAAGATTAAACGAGGACTGAACCAGGACTAAACTAAGACTATAATCTGTGTTCTGCATTAGAACAGAACTAAACATAGCAAAATAAATAAGCTTCACTCACCCGAGTCTCTGTTCAGACACACGTTTGAACCAATCAAAATCAAAATAAAAATAAAAATAAAAAAAGTGTTAAAACTATAAAAAACTAGAGTAATGTAATGATGAACATTATAACAACATTAAAACCTCAAAAAATTCTACCAAACAAGTCTAACAGCAAGACCATCTGATGACAGATCATGTTTTTAACCTCATTTAAACTGCCTCACTGCATTCTAATAAAGTTACATGAAAATAAAGAACCAGACCATGTTTACTTTTGATTTAGTCCTGGTTTAGACCTGGTTTAGTCCTGGTTTAGTCCTGGTTCAGTCCTGGTTGAGTCCCTGGTTTAGACCTGGTTTAGACCTGGTTTAGACCTGGTTTAGTCCCTGGTTGAGTCCTGGTTTAGGCCTGGTCCAGTCCTGGTTTAGTCCTGGTTTAGTCCTGGTTTAGTCCTGGTTTAGACCTGGTTCAGTCCTGGTTTAGTCCTGGTTCAGTCCTGGTTTAGACCTGGTTTAGTCCTGGTTTTAGTCCTGAAATAACGTCTGCATCATTGTTGGAAAAAAAGATAAAAGGTTTGATTTAAATTAAAATGTATAAAAGTTAAAGTTTTACCTGAACTCAGAAGAACAGAGATGAAGACCAGAGCTCGGATCATGGTCCAGATCTGCTTTAGTCCAAACAGAGTCTGAGGAGCAAATGAACAGAGACCAGAGACCAGAGACAAGCCCCTCCCCTGAGAGAGAGAGAACTGAACCAGGACTAAACCAGGACTAAACCAGGACTGAACCAGGACTGAACCAGGACTAAACCAGGACTAAACCAGGACTAAACCAGGACTGAACCAGGACTGAACCAGGACTAAACCAGGACTAAACCAGGACTAAACCAGACTGAACCAGGACTGAACCAGGACCAGGTCTAAAGAACCAGGACTGAACCAGGACTGAACCAGGACTAAACCAGGACTGAACCAGGACTGAACCAGGACTGAACCAGGACTGAACCAGGTCTAAACCAGGACTAAACCAGGACTAAACAGGACTGAACCAGGACTGAACCAGGACTGAACCAAACCAGGACTAAACCAGGAAACCAGGACTGAACCAGGTCTAAACCAGGACTAAACCAGGACTAAACCAGGACTGAACCAGGACTGAACCAGGACTAAACCAGGACTAAACCAGGTCTAGGAACCAGGACTGAACCAGGACTGAACCAGGACTGAACCAGGACTGAACCAGGACTGAACCAGGACTGAACCAGGACTAAACCAGGACTAAACCAGGACTAAACCAGGACTAAACCAGGTCTAAACCAGGACTAAACCAGGTCTAAACCAGGTCTGGACCAGGTCTAAACCAGGTCTAAACCAGGACTAAACCAGGTCTAAACCAGAACTAGGAAAACCAGGACTAAACCAGGACTGAACCAGGACTAAAACCAGGACTGAACCAGGACTGAACCAGGACTAAACCAGGACTAAATCAGGTCTAAACCAGGACTAAACCAGGTCTAAACCAGGTCTAAACCAGGTCTGGACCAGGTCTAAACCAGGTCTAAACCAGGACTAAACCAGGTCTAAACCAGGACTAAACCAGGACTAAACCAGGACTAAACCAGGACTACCAGGACTAACCAGGACTGAACCAGGACTGAACCAGGACTAAACCAGGACTAACCAGACTGAAACCAGGACTAAACCAGGACTGAACCAGGACTGAACCAGGACTGAACCAGGACTAAACCAGGTCTAAACCAGGACTAAACCAGGTCTAAACCAGGTCTAAACCAGGACTAAACCAGGTCTAAACCAGGTCTGAACCAGGTCTGAACCAGGTCTAAATCTGGGTCTAGTTCTTTATTTTCAGGAGGCAGTTTAAATTAGGTTAAAAACACGATCTGTGTTTGACGTTGGCACTAAAGACGTCGGAAAACTCAACAGCTGTTTGTGTTTTTAACAGAGAAATCGCGTTCAAAATGACAACGCAAATCAAATAAAATAAGTGAAAATAAAACCTTTAACCACCAACTGAAGACGGACTTAAACTCGACGTTATCTGATATTTTACAAATGGAGCAGTGACATTTTAGAGCCGAGCTAACGACATGTAATCGGGTTAAGAATTTACACAGTGAGAGCAAAGCGGCTAATCGCGTTAGATTCATCCTCTGCGCCGCCATTAGCATTAGCATTAGCATTAGCATGAGTAGGGTCACATGCTGCAAGTTTTAACTTTTCAAAGTGACGTAAAGTAACGATCCTCAACATTCAGCGACGGACACTAAGATGATGAAGTCGCAATGCGACTTACAAATACAAATGCGACGACGCAACAAAAAGCCACAACGGAAATGACCGCGGGACTCTATTTTAATGCAAACGCCGCAACAAATACAAACGCCACAACACAAACGCAAATGCCGCAACACGTTAAAAAGCCACGACACATTAAAAAGCCACAACACATTAAAAAAGCCACAACACCATAAAAAGCCACAACATGTTAAAAAGCCACGACACATTTAAAAGCCACAACACGTTAAAAAGCCACAACATGTTAAAAAGCAACAACACGTCAAAAAGCCACAACACATAAAAAGCCACAACACATTAAACAGCCACAACACATTAAACAGCCACAACAGAAGTGACCGCGAGACTCTATTTTCCGACAGACAGATCAAGCGGCGAGTGAAGAAGAAGAACGACAACAAGTGGAGATTGTAGAAAACTACAGTTTGGTGATTGTGTAAAGAGAATAAACGGAGTTTCAAGAGCTGAAAAGTGTGACCAGTGTTTCCCTTTTGCTCTGATGAAGATGAAGATGATGATGATGAAGCATCAGAGCAGGAGTCTTCGTGTTTCTTCTGGTGAAACATTTTTCACGTGTTTCATTTGCACAGAGCTGATGTTTCATATCCATGTCCAGAGACCAATGAGGCTTTATCAGATCTGTGGAGAGGCGAGCCGTTCACTAATGCACCTTGTCTCTCAAGGTGTTTGTGAGTAAAACTTACAACTGTAATGAAATAAAAGCTACAGGTTTGAAGTTAATCCAGGCGTCGCCCAGAGTCTCGGTGTATTTCTGTCGACGCTCGATGGAGGATTTATGTGAGTTGACAAAAACAAAAACTTTTTTGAAAACGATGCTTTGTGCACAATGTTATTTTGGAAAACGGAACAAAGGAAATATTCATTTCTCAACACACCCGGCGATGTGTAAACGCAGCCTGATCACTGTGGGAATCAGTCATGCATTTTTTAAAAAGTGCATACGCCAGCCGTCGGGAAAATATCTAATCTAAAACGAAAGCTGCATGGGCCTTTTGTGCTTCACTCTTTTCATCTGCAGAGACTACGACCCGTCGGAACAGCGATACTAAAAATTGTCAGTAAACTGGCATGTCTAAATAGAGGCATGTCGTACTGAAGTGCAAGTGAACGGCCAATCAAATCGGGTTCTGAAACGCAAACTCGGGCTCGTTCGGTGCAAACTGAGTCGATTGGATTTACGTCACAGCAAAAATGTCGGTGCACAGAGTAAACGGGCTGAATCGTCTTTTGGTCATTTTGATGTTGTGTCTGTGTAGAAAAAGTGTCTTTAAAAACTTTGTAGTGACATTTAGACTTTTTCACATCATTTTCCCGCCGACACAAGTTCTTTTCTGAACATGTAGAAGTCAAACTGAGCGAGTTGCCGTTAGCCAACAGATGAATGTCGTGTCCCTCAGTTGTTCAGGTAGAATCTATGGCAAAGGAGAAATGCAATTTGTTTGTTTAATGTCTGTTTGTTTTCGACCTAAATCAACATTTGTCCAGTTGACAAATTTAATTCATCCTTTGCCGTGAGCTAACAGACTTTATTAACAGGAGCTCGCGATAACGTGAACGAGCTCAGAGGCAGTTCAAAGTTTTCAGAAGACACATTGTCCACACAGACACAACTTAACACGTAAAAATGAACAAAAGACAATTCTCGCTGCTGCATTCTAAGCAGCAGAGTTAGGGTGACCAAACGTCCGTTTTTCCCCGGACATGTCCGTACTTTGCGTCCTGTCTGCAGCGCCTGGGTTTTTTTTTTTTTTTAAGTGATGCAAATGTTCAGGTTTTCATGACCGTTCATTGGGACATTAAACTGAGCGTCTCTCTTAGTTCTCTGTGACTCAGAAGGAGCGAGACACAAACAGTCGGTCAGTCTTCAACACGCAGAAACGAAATGCACATTTAACAACGACTTGTACAAGAAATTCTCTGTTTTCTGTCCCGGTCGAGACAAGTGTGAGTCCATGTGCACAGGTTGAGGTGAGAGGACAGTGTCCCTCGTTTATCGTGGGGGTTACGCTCTAAAAATAACCCGTGATAGGCAAATCCACGAAGTATCAACTTTATATTTTACAATTATTCTATCTGTTTTAAGTCTGTAAAACCCCTCAGCACAAACTTTATACACTTTTTTCAGACAGGAGAGGTACAACTCTCTTTGCATCTTTTCTTAAAACTTATTGCGGCTGTCGTCTTTATGTTACTTTCTCCTTCTTAACGAACCTAAAGATTCTTTTATTCCGCAATGGAGCCTACAGAGCAGAGTCCTGCACGGCTCCATTTTTGGAGACCCTCAGTACAACAGTACGCATCCAGCCGTTAACCAGAGATTATATCAAACTTTTGTGCTGCCTAAACCACGGACTGAACTAAGACTAAACCAGGTGTAACGTAGGTTGACCGTGAGCGGCTTGGGGTTCAGTGAGCGAGGTAAAAAAACAAATCCAGACACAGACCGGTACTTGTGGTCCACAGTTTACTTTTGTTTTTTCAATGATTACAAAAGTGCAAGTGCAAAAAGTGCAGGGTGCAAAACGGAGGCAGGCAGCAGTTTCCTCTCCAGCAGCCGAACACAGACTGATCTTGAAGGCGCCTTTTATGCTGATTGGATAAAACCACTATGCTAAAACAGGGATGGTTAAAATTATCATTAGCGTAAAATTAAAACCTAAACCTCCATAAAACAACCCAAAACCCAGATAACTATTAAAACCACCAACTATATACATAAAACCCTAAACCATTACATTACACCAATTAAATGTTAAAACCCATAAACCAATAAAACACCAAACCTAAAACCCCTGTACAAAATGTTACACGTGGTCCAGCCCGGAACCATAAAAGAGGGAGCTCATTTCCGGGGGACTCTTTTCACACCTGGACAGAAGATAAAAAGGGGAGGTAAGTAAAAGCAGATTCACACCATTCATTAAAACACAATAAAACACACTAAACACATCAACACTTAAAACATTCTAAAACAGATATTGCACCATATTTATTGCACAAAGTCAATTTAAAATGTAATTTGTTATTGTCTCCCTTTTCCTCCAGGGACAAGCAACTTCCAATTAAAGTACCACTGTGCCTCAGGAATTAAAAATGGTTAAAGGAAAGACAATAAATATTTTTTAAAACCAATTGTGTGCAATTTCTGTTGTGATGTGCAAATATGTTAAAAGTGCTGTGTGCAAGGAAAGTGTAGTGTTTTAAAGTGCTCTAGTGAAGGGTGAAGGTGCTAAGTGTGGTTCTAGGGTAACAAACCAGCCTGTTTGTTACACCAGGACTAATCCAGGACTGATTCCAGGACTGAAAAGGAGGACTAAAGC